TTGTTTTTGGTGTATTTTGTTTTGTTTTGTTTTTCGTGTATTTTGTTTTTTCAATCTATACTAATGTTATAAAGAGGAAAGAATTGTTATTTTGTATGTTTTGAAGTTATTAAAAAACTACTGAGCCGAGTTAAAATTCTTTCATCGTTAGAAAGGTATTTTATCTGTGAGTAACATAGTCTATATTTTTAAATTTCCCGCGGGTTCGCAACCAACAGCTAGTTAATAATAATTTGCAATAGTACTAAAACAAATGACGTCAAAGGTCATTGGATTTTTGTTTATGATGTCTTGTTTTAGAAATTACGTAGGATTACATTAGTATTAGTTAGAGTACAACTTGCAACTAAAATCACATAAACGTTTTTACAAACTGTTTCAACTCATTATATGCTTTGGGAGAATAGTTCTAACGTCACTTTGATGAATCAAACCTGCATAACGATGTAAACTAGTAACTAAAAACAATAATAAAAAAGTTCCTTGTGTAATAAAATCTTATACGACGTAACCTATATTCTAGTCGACCGTATGTTTGAGACAAGACTTTCGTAATGATACAAGTACGATGTCTATCATATTTAATAGTTGATGTACGTACAGGATGTTTACATATACATTAAATTAATGTCTCAATAGATGACTGGGTCACCAAAATATAAACTGTTGGGAATTGTGCAATAAATATAGGTCAATTACTTAAGAGTTCGAGATGTAAGTACATAGGGGACTATTCATAATAATCTACATTGATTTTTAGATAATTGTGGTCGAGATGGATTAAATATTATTACGACATTATAATTGATAAGCTAAAAGAAAACTAAATGGTTGATTAAAAAAGGATTCATTGATGTAGAAGTAAGTGTTCCTTATTTAAAAATCCATTCAGTGGAACCAATAAGATATTTATAGTGGTAAATAGTATGAAAATAAATGAAATCTTAATAAAAGATGTAACAAAGTTTACTATTGTCATCCAAACCTTTCGTTAAACAGATGTCTGAACAAAGGAAAGGAGAAAGCAATAAGTAAATGCGTCGTTTTTTTGACGCAAAATTGGTTCGGAGACAATTTCGGCAAAGAGAAAATTATGGACCCTTAGAAATGATTGCCATTTTCACTGTCACCGTTCAACTGAATAAATCGGGGGACGACTTAGAAAGAAAAATGCTTTGTGTCTGCAGCGAGACTGACACAAAAGGTAACAAAACCGCTCACAAAGTATTTCTTTGCGATTGTAAAAGTTTGTGTCATTAGAGATTTTTTTACGATTGTTCTTAGTTCGAGGTCAGTGGAGTGAATATGGTTCTGAATCATTAAAAGTTATTGAAACAAATAAACATCAATCTTGCTCTTAAAAGTAAGAAAAACAATTGAAATAAACCTAGGATTTTCAGTCTTTTTAGAAGTTAAATTAAATCGAACAATTGTTCTTATGTTTTACGTATAATATGTGAACTCAACTCATTTAAAATAATTGTAAATTTCAAAGTTGTAATTGCATTTCCATTCAACCCTCAAGAGTCAATATGAGGCAGTTGGTTATTATTTTGGGATTGTTTGCTTAAAACTACGTAAACTTTGGGTATAATTAATGAAAACTTTGGTATATAAGATTAAGTTTAGATATTAAATAAACAATTTAATATAAACTAATTTGATACCATTGAAACAAGGATTCTTAGGGTAGACTCCAGACCCCTTACTTGGGACTGAAAACGTATAGTGAGCTGATGATGATGTAACAAGCATAGTAGGCGTTTATTTTAATATTAATAAAATTAATGTTATTATCTTAAAACATAATCTAATTTCGAAATCATAAATTGGGATGTTTTATGTGCATATCAGTTTATGTCAGATGCCATTTTCACCGTCCATGATTCCCCTATTTTTATAATATAAAATGTGAGACTCAATCACCGATGCGATCCATCAGAGCTTTGAAAAAGAGGCATTAACCCCTCGCCCCTTCAATTACCGTCTTTAGCTTTCAATTTGCGTCTTTGTGGCCCATGAAAAAGGACAGCCGATAAATTCGGTATTTTCAATACGATGACTGGCAATCTTTGATGTTTGAGCGGTGATGTGAAAGTTACAATACTAATACACATTTTTCGGCAAAGATTTTTCCTCCCTTTATAAATTTTACCAGTCTGTAATAACCTTACCAATTTTGGTTTTACATATTTTAAATGCAATATGAATTGAGAAGAATTGGTTTTGAATTTTTCTACTTATCTTACTAATATTATAAATGCAAGTTTAGATGGATGGATAGACGGATGTTTGTTAGAGTTTGTTGCCTAAACGAATAAACAGATCTCCATAACATTTGACATAGACGTACAAGAGAGTCTGAATAAACACGTAGTCTACACACTTTTGTTATTTTTTATTACACGCTGACGGAGTCGCAGGTAGCAGGTAGTATTGGTTAATTCTGAAAGGGTCAATTTCGTTAAATCATGTTTACACTTGCTATTTAAGTTTTATTGTTTTCTTAATTATAGAATCCCCACTTAAAAAAGTAATAAACCCATTATATTGGTTCAGTAATTATCATTACAAGCCGTCGATAATTTCGAAGCTAAATGGTTTTAATTTAATTGGTTAGTCGCTAATGAGTTTCTGGCAACATACGAGGAGCTAATGACGTTCTCAGCACTAGTTGCAACTTTTACCACACACATGGAAACTTAATTGAAAATCAAATAGTATGAATAGATATGTATTCAATTGAATGCGCAAAAAATATTTTGTAGTAAAAAATGAAGTCAGTACTAAAAAAAGATCTTATTCACCATAAAGCAGTATTTGATAACCACTAGTAGAGCATAAGTCACTTTATCGATTGTAATTTGATACTTTATTTAAAAGAGAACGAAAATGAGAGAATTACACTAGTTAAGATAGTGGAAACTCACAGTTATGGACGACTCACAAGAACAACAATACATACATGGAATTTTGAGAGATTATTGTATTTAAAATAAATTCAAACTCTGACTAACTGGAAAACACTTCGAAAGCTTAATCTGTCAACTGTACGTAATATTCGCCATTACAATAGACTATCCTTCAACCGTGTACTATAATGGGTTGGTCGAGGTCAACGTAAGAAACAAAGCGAAAACTAATTACTATTTCCTTCGTTGGTAGCTTTGTTTTTTTTACAAACATAACGGGTAATGGAAAAACTTAATACCGTCAATTTTTAATACCTTATATGGTCAATATTGGAATGTAGAATAAAATTATCTTAGAAATATTCAATGATTCATGTTTTTTCTTTAGAAAACTTTACATATTTTAATCACATTCTGGTAAATTTTGAAAAAAAGATTGTACAGTATTCGTTGTGATTTAAGTTCATAATCTATGATTTATTTACCCTAAGACCTAAGATAAAAATGATATTTTTTTTACGTCTATTCCACTCTAGTACTTTAAGAGCCATATATGACACAATTCACACAATTGAATCCTTCAAAGAACAACATAATTAACCAGACGACGCAATCTGTAAGTGAATCAGAGCTAATAGTGCGTGATGATATCATACACCGGTTTGATGAGGTACCAGCTGATATGGCCAATAAACGGCAAACCCACCTACATTGTAATTGAAACAATTGTTAAACACTGTATATTCCCGTCTTGTAAACTGATACGTATTTATCTAAGGAAATAAATCATACTAATATAAATGCGAATGTTTCTAGTTTAATTGTTAGTTTGTAGCCTAAACTGCTAAACGGATATCGATGAAATATGACATATATGTGGACGATAGTCTGGAAGAACAGATAGGCAACTTACTTTTGCTTTTTTTAATTCCACACTGACGGTGTCGCGATCGAAAACTAGTTCTTTTTAAAATTGATAATACTGATCTTATACGTTGTAAATCTGTAGTAATATAAATGTAAACAAACCCATTAAAAGACATTGTATTTCCAAAAATAAGTGTGATTTTCGGTTTTAGTAATATTATAATTCCTAATATACATAGTAGAGAGCATGTAAAGGTATCATATTATTTAGTTACATAAGTTTGTTTTTGTTTGTCTGATGAAATATAATATGAATTAATATTAACTTTTATTTTTAAAAAGGTTCTTAAAGTAGGTCTCGGTAGTCCTATAATTAACAAATGTTGATATTTACATGTATGTAAACATATTTTTCCCTCTTGCTTGTTGACCGACACAAAGGAAGTCTGCACTCGATTTATAAAACTGATAACTTTTAATTACACATGAAAATGGTCATTGCACGATTTTCCTGTTTTGAAATAATATATTACACTACGGTTATAGACGAGAGCTAATAATGTTGTTTTTTCACCTCTTAAAGTAAAATAACACTATTAGAACAAAACTGTTTTTCCATTTTGTCTTCAATTAAAACCACCAGTCCTATAGCAAACACTGAACGAATATGTAATATACTTTATGGGCGGAAATTGGAATGGTTGCCTCGCCTGTCAGACTAATTGGCGACGGCATTATGATGGTTTACAAAAAGATTGCCATGGTACTCGCCTTTATTTACTACTAGCTTTCGCCCGTGACTCCGTGGAATAAAAAAAAAACAAAATGATGTAGCGTAACTTGTCTAACCACGTAACTTGTCTAAAACTTAGGTCAAACTAGCAAAAATCCAGCTTCGGAAACCCAGCATAATTCACATTTCATGTTTTTGTTACTAGGAACACATAAACTTGGTTGGGTTCGACGAGAACCAGAGCCCGGTGGTGATGTCCCTGAAGAACGAGCACATGGCGGGGCAGGACCACACGCGGATACTGCTGCGGCTTCGCACAGAGACTATGCATGGACTTATACCAGTTACAACAAGTTAGTAGATACATTTATTCACAAGTGGGCATAGTTAATATAATTAAACTACGTTAAACGTTAATTCATCTCGTCCACCACTCACTTGCATACCCATAGCATAGGAGACTAGCATGCCAGTTAATGATTCAGCATACCAGTAACATGCGATGTCCCGCAAAAACAGACTAAATTGACGAAAATTTAATTAAACCGAAGTTAACAAAAGCTTTAACGTTAACATTTTTGGAACTAACCTAATAGTTAATCTGTTATGCTGATTGGTTTGCAAATAAGCAGCAATACTAAATTGTAAATAAAATTCATCATCATCGTCACCAGCATCATACGTCCCCACCGAGAGGATCGGACCCTAAGTTAGGGAAGAGTAGACCTAATTCTTAGAAAAAATAAAATGATTAGAGTACACGTAACTTAAAAGGAACTATTGTGTTTCAGGATCTGGTATAATACCATCACCAGCGAGAATGGCAAAGATGTTGAACGAGCAAGTGAATGTGGATAACTTTATGGCGGTGACGTGTCTGAGCGCATCGCCTCTCATCGCTACTTACGACGAGCACGTGCTTGTTAATGACTTTAAGTTCGGCGTCCTCTACCAGAAGTATGGACAGACTACAGAGGAAGAACTCTTCGGGAACAACGAGACGTCGCCCGTCTTTGATGAGTTCCTTGAAATGTTAGGACAGAGGATTAAATTGAAGGACCATAAAGGTAATATTTTCTATTATCTAAACTATTTTTATATCTTCATGCGGATGAAGCCCCACGCGATTTACCGTATGAAGAAATCTATCCACCAAAGATCCCATATCTTGTGTGGCATGGTCTTAGTATGATGTGTGTGGCAGGGTACCGCGGCGGGCTGGACATCCAGAACGGTCACACGGGCTCGGAGGCGGTGTACGAGCGGCACGAGGAACGTCAGATCATGTTCCATGTGGCGCCGCTGCTCCCGCACACGGCGGGCGACGCGCAGCAGTTGCAGCGCAAGCGGCACGTCGGCAACGATATTGTTGCCCTCGTCTTCCAGGTAAGCATATATAGTTGATAAAAATTTTATCAAGTTCACTGTATTTACCGGGGAACAATACAATTAAACTAGGGTATTCATGTGCCCTAGTCAATCTGTTTAAAGTAGACCATAGCTAACGGTGACTCAGAATTTGTTTCAATTCAGACCTAAAGATTGTCTTGATTTTACTGCACCAATCTCTACCGATGAAATCTGTAATGTCATTGATTTTGGGATTATCATGCATCTTAAATAATGTTCTTGATATCTTAATTAACATTACTTAAGTTCTGTTGTTTCTTTTTCCAGGAAAAGGCGACTCCTTTCACCCCTGACATGATAGCGTCCCACTTTCTTCACGCTTTCATCGTGGTCACGCCTCTGGAGACGAACGGCGGGGAGACCAGGTAACTATTCAATTAATGAATATTGCTAACCACGATAACAAACTGAAAAATCAAGTTAATGTATCTAAAGCGAGAAAGCGAGGGAAATAATAATGCTATTTAAATTTTATAATGCAGTTTCTTCATAAATTGTATGTTTAGTTTCATCGCTTACTCTCTCTTGTACACTTGTCAAGTTGTTTTGCATAAAGTTTGTTTAACTTCGCGAGCGCACGGGGGCGCTATTTGCATCTAGTGTCGGGAGAATTGCCCGGAAAAGAGAATGGAAATTCTCATGGTAATTTATATGCAAACGAATCGCGACTTTGTAATTAGGCAGCTTTTTACCGGACCGAATATACGAGTATTCAATCCGTCGGGCAATATTCCCTTGATGTTGATTTTGCTGATTGAACTAAATGTATGAACTTTTATATTCGTTAACCAAGCATTTACTATGATACGCAACTTCATATCATATTGCATTCTGTATAATATTATTTACTTAAAAGCACATAGATAGTTTATATTATTTTCACGCCCAGTTAAGAATGGTTATGGTTTTTTTTTGTTGTCGCGGGGAATGCATTTACGCACTTCACCGTCCATGCTGCGGAGGCAGCAAGGACAGTTTCGTGTGGGACTCCCGGCCTTAAACAATGGTTATGGTACTCCAGTTAAATTCTGATTTACGTGAGATGACCATAAGCATACCACTTTAGGACTTTTATTTAATAGGAATTTATATCAGTTGTATAGATTAGAAACTAAAGTTTTTTTTTTCATTTAATTTCCAGGTACAAAGTGGCCGTCACCGCGCGTGAGGATGTCCCATTCTTCGGGCCGACTCTCCCTCAGCCGTCTGTATTCCGCAAGGGGCGTGAATTCAAAGAGTTCCTCCTTACCAAGTTGATCAACGCTGAAAACGCGTGCTACAAAGCGGCTAAGTTCGCACAACTTAAGCTGCGAACGCGGGCATCTTTGCTCCAGAACTTAGCTGAAGACTTGAAGAGTAAAACGATAGAGTTTCTTGGTACGGGGGTGAGAAGCGAACCCGTCGCCGTCTCGCCGCAGCCGGAGGGGTTTGGGACTCCGAAGATGGAAGGTCCAGGCGCCAGATTTTTCGAGACTGTGAAGAAAGCAATTTACAAAGGCAGGTTAGTTCAGGCATTGGTTGTTGATTAACATTAATAATGTAAGTTTTAAACAAAAACTCTCTTTTTTGTTAAAATTTTAGCAATTACGGTTAAAGTATTTACTAACACTTTATTCGCCAATAATATAATCGTGCGTTGAGAAGGTTAAAAGAAACAAATGTGAAATTTTGATTTCCAGTCAACGAACTTTCAGTCAATGACCTTTCTATTTTAGTCTGCTTTACCTAGAATGAAAGGGTAAGGATAAACTAATTATAACAAAATCGACAAAATACATTTCATGTAATTTAACACCTGCTTGTCTTGCAGAAATGTTAACCTTTGTTTGTTGTTAATTCTACAGATCGCCTAGCGACCCATCGGGGGACAGCACGAAGGGGTCACTTAACAAGAAAATCAATATACACGATACACCTACCCCAAACGTAAGTGTTTAAACAACATTTCGACCTCTCACGCAACAAAAAGCAATACAAAACAAATTCATACTCTATTAAGGGATTTTTCCTATAATTAAAACTAAGTGAAGCTGCCGCTAAAAATAAGCACTAGTAAAAGACTATAGGAAGAATAGAGAAGGGCTACTTCCTTCACTACTGTTTTCCTTACGATTTAATTTGCTGACGATGAATTGTACGTTCGTGGTTTAGTGATTTAAGCACTTGCCTTGTAATCTACAGATCTTAGGTTCGAATCCCGCAATGTACCAATGTGAATTTCGAATTTCATATGTACATAATGTCCTCGACGTTCTTACGTTGAAGCAAAACATTGTGATTGTAACCTGTATATATCGACGAAGAATTTCAATAGTATAGCGGCCAGGTGATGACAATGAAATTGTGTGTTCAGAGCGGTCGTTCGAAGACGTCCGTAGCGTCGTCATCCGCGTCAGCAGTGTCCGTGCGGTCTGCGGGCGGCTCGGGCGGCTCCAGTCCAGACGTGACGTCACGCGCCGCGCCGCCCCGCGCTCACCACGACCACAGCGACGACTCCAGCCTCAACTCCGTCGACCTCGACCCACTCGGTGAGATACTATCAACCTTATTGAGTTAAATTCAAGATCTATTTTCCATTAGCACGACTAGCCTTGAGACTGTCCGCGTGCAATTGTTTAAGTAATGTGATATCCACTGGAGCGACTACAATTGGCATAGAAATCGTATAGCTATTCAGGTGAAAATGGAAAAGGGATTTTTCTCTTTACTAAGCTGAAATTTCTAAAAAACTTAATTATGTTTTGTACTGTATAGTCTATTTTAATTATTTATGATGCTTGTCTTTTAAACCACTATTTTAACATCAATACATTACGTTGTATTCTTTCCGTTTAATTTTCGTATATATTTTATGTAACAATCATAAAAATAATTACCTTTTCTTTCATTGTATATGAATGACATTTATTATAAATATGTAGCTAAAGAGACGTATGTTAGTTTTTTCCCCTTATTATTTTTGTAGTATATTTATTATATAAATTAAAATACATTTTTTCCTTTCAATTAGACGACAAGGACTGGCTGAGTTGTGGTAAAGGCGCAACAGGTTAGTCCTTAAAAAGTTTTATATACCATGTCATTGTTCACATAACATTAAATAGATTCTTTTGTGAATTTCGCATGGAATCATTAGTCTCTGAAATATATATCATCATTCATATGCGATGCATACTAAACCTATGAACGTTCTAGAACAACCTTTTGAATAACATCTCATTAACATATTTATGTAATAAATTGCCAGAGTTATTTATGTCCTTTATTTTTATATTCCATATAATTCCAATAAACCTAACTTTTGAGCATATTCGAAATTATCTTCTAATATTGTATTAAAAAATTGGAAAGTGGCATCTATTTCATTTGATAATTTGAAATTCTTAAATATACAACTAACAATCACAAAATCAACTGCAAATAGAATTAAAAAAAGTAAAAAAGCAAAATGACTGAATATACATTTCTCTTCCAATGTAAGTTTTCTATGATCATTCAAAGCGATATAGTTGACATATCTTAATAATTAACATGTTCTAGGTACGCCAGTTTACGTGGACAGCGACACTGGACTGGAATCGATGTCATCTGCTGAGGCGGGTGCGGGCGCGGGCGGGGCGGGGGCTGCGCGGGGCGAGGCGGGCGCGCGCGCTGACCTCGACTTGCTGCGCCAGGAGGTGTGCCGTCTTAAGAACGACAAGCTCGATCTACTGAAGCAAAATATCGTTAGTATTGTTTGTTACTTTACTATCTAAAAACGTTTGACGGATAAATATTCTTTACCTTTTTCTACTTACACTATTATTCCCAATAAAAGCTAAAATGTCATTACTGACTAGCTGTTCCCGTGCGGCTTCATCCGCATGAAGTTATGAATACTTTATTTCATTATTTACATTTATGAACTGTCAAAATAAAATGCATAAATGACAACCTTGCTTCCTTTATGTTGGCAGCTTGTAGTTTGTGATGCCTTTCCCACATTAAGATTTATTTCTATTTTATTTACCCCCTAAGTTTAATATCGTGAAAATATATAGCTTAAAGCGTGTGGTAAGTGTAGGGCATTTTATTAAAGGAAGAATTATTCAAAAATATGCCGTGATTGCTCACATCCTACGCCACGAAGTAGAGTGTGTTTACGCTTTATTATATTAATATAGATTACCATATATTTAATGTAATTAAATATAAAAAACTAACCTTTGTGGAGAATCTTTAGATAAAAAATATATCTCCAATATAAATATAACATCTTATAATATAATTATAAACTTTTTTCCAGGCATGGCAAAACGAGATCAAATGCCTTCGTGAGAGGGAGATCAAACTGCAAGGCGAGTTGATGTCCATGTCCAAGGAAATGAGGAAGATCCGCGAGCACCAGAGCACCATCATACCGAACCCTTCGTCGCACGACTCCACTGCTTAGAACAGTTACTATGATTGTATGTGATTCGGACACGTCGGACAAAAGAGACGTGCCAAATCAAATCAACCACTTGCGGAGTCCACATTTTGGAAAGAAACTGTAATAATATGTTTATTATGTTAAAGTTTCGGCAGTGCGAACGCGTTAGAAAATACTAAAACGCCTCAATGCGTAGTAATGTTAGTAGAAACACTATATCTATTTTCTTCATATCTGGGAATGATTGTGCAATATTAAATTTGCAATAATTTACGTAATTATTACGTATGATTTATATTTTCATTTATGCAATAACAAAGTTTGCCTATTCTATACATTCCTGTAATCTCTATGGTATTATTGGATATGTGTGGACTTTGTTCGTGCAATTTTGTGTATTTTTGATCATTTGCATTTAAATCAAAAATTGTATTAAAAGCTTAGATCTTCGCTTGACTGATTAAAATGCTATGATTAACTTTGTATAGTTATTAGAGAGAATTTGATTCGACTCTTCTATGTTATATCAAAATTAATATTGGAATTTCAGATTTAGTAGAACAACTTAGGGTAGTGTTCCACTGCTTTAATTATTGTATAAATTATTGTCTCTGGTTCTTCAAGGAGAAAGGGATGGTAATATGTTTATACAATTTTTATCAGTGGAAATTCAATAATGAACTGTGAAAACAGTTTGAATCATTATCTTAATTCGAAACAAGAACAAATAAAGACCTTGATTTATATTACCTTTTAGACCTCATAGAAAAGATTGTGTTTATTAAAATAAAAAATATAACTCGATTTAGCCATTATTTCTATGCGCGTAAATGTAAACGAGGAAATCTTAATGTATATTTAGTAATTTTTAATGTACTCTTGGTACTAAATAGTTGGTATTTTGGCGTTGACGGAGTAAGATCTTGAATTTTTTGATAGTTGATTTGATGTTAGAGTACTTTATTTAAAAAAAATTAGAGAAGTTTTCAATGTATAGTTTTTATAGGTATTAAAAAATACAAAAAAAAACTAACGGTACCTACGAAATTTAGCCTTGACTTGTAGAGCCTTTACGTATATGGTGCATTAGTAAAAATGTTAATAGACGCAATCTTATAGTCTGTTAAATATTAGAATATCTATTTTATAATAATGTATAAATACTATCCCAGTATACATTATATTATGTACTATTTATATATTAAATATTTCATTACTTCAGTGCAATTCTATTCGTAGAAGCACAGGATCTGTTTCCTTTTACTTAAGTTCTCCAGTTATTGTAAATATATTTTAACTGGACTTAGACTAATTTAATTAAACAGTATTTTTTTTCTAATTTATGTTAAAATTAAGCGTCGTTTCTCGAGTGTCTTTGAGTTTTGATATGTTTTGTTGTTTGTAATTAATATTTTATACCAAAGTTAACATTCCCCACTATGATAGTGTTTTTTAATTCACGTTTAAAGAAACGGAGAAACAGTATTCTTGATTTAATTAACGGATCACATTAACATTATAACATATTTCTAATTTTACATTTACTATCATATTAAATGTAATCTTTTGGATTGTTCGACTGTTGATTATAATTAAGTTTTAAAAAAAATAACTGTTAATTCGTCTTTTCTCGACCTAAACCAAATATTGCAAGCGCGGAGCGTTAGAACATTATAGATTATAACTTTAAGAGATACTATGGAAATATATGAATAGTTAATTACTAAATAATTGTTGTTTCATTGCCTAATGTGATCTGAAAACTTCCTTACTAATTTACCTTATACCACCTTATACCCATTTACATGTTTTCACTACTCAACGAAAAAACGCAACTGAGTGTGTGGACTTATGTATCAATATAGATAAAATGTTTACCTATTGAAAATTGATCGTACATTTAAACGAACCCAAAAAATCCTTTTATGTATGGAAGACGCTGAATTCTCTTAAATAATAACACTTACATATTTACATCAAATAATTTAAGCATGCAAAGGGTTCGAAATAATTTAAACAATTTCTTTGTACGTCTTTAATTCATAAACATAGAATTTATTACATTATTGTCATATAGTATAAACATATAAAAAAACAGAACATGTTTTGTTATTTTCAGTGCCATCTGTAAGTTCATGCCTAAACGTGGGAAATCCCAAGTAGCGCGAACGATGTAGAGACAAATATTTAATTCTCATACATACCTCAGGGTAATGGTTTAGCGTTTCGATCCCTAGATGGCAGCTTTTTGAAAAATATTTTTTTAATTTAACTACCAAAAATACCTAAAAATAAGCCACGCTTACAGTTATGAATATACTTCACCTGTTAATTATATACTCATCTCTCGCTATAGCTAGCTCTGTCTATTATAATGTCCGCCTAACTATTAATTCCCTTATTTGTATTTACCAGAAACTTGTAGATTTAATTATACTAAGATTTTTTTTTAGAGTTTGTAGCCTAAGATGAATGGGTGTCGATGAAATTTGGCATAGGTGTAGATCTGGATAGTGTTTGTTTAGTAAGAACACAGGCTACTTACGTTTGCTTTTTTTTAAATCCTAGGCTGAAGGAATCGCAGCCATAAGCCCATCAATAAAATAAAAAAAAAGATTGAGTATTTTTATTAACAACACTGATCCCTCCATCGGTGATTATAAGATTACAACTTCCCAATTTTTTTTCAAGTAGATTCATTGACATTAAATAAAATAACACTGTGAATCTATAAATATAAAAATAATTCTCAGTATCTTATACAAAAGCTCTGAAGTATCATAAGTAAATAAAAAAGTTAATTTTGTTTGCAGATGACTTTGACCTAAAAAAACAATAGCTTATCTAAAAAAGTATATCTTAAAGAATTTCACAGGCAAGGATTAACGCTTTAACTTTATAGTTTTTAATTTCTTTTGCTTGTACAGTCTTCTTTAAAGTCGAGAAAGTAATTTTTTATTCAAAGCACTCCTAGTTTAATTAATTATTAAAAAATATAACATGTTTTGCTTAGTAACTAGTTTTTATAGACATTTTAATTAAGACAATTGAATAAATAATAATAACGTAATAAAAATACTATATCTATACTAATTAATTAAAAACGGCTCAACTCACGCTTTTTTTCTCCGGTGACGGCACCGACTAGTTTCGGATCCTTCGGGGATCCTTCTTCAGGGCGAGTATTATTTAACTTTTGTTCGCGGTCGCGTCGCGCCTCGCACTGCGGGCCAGGGCGCGGAGGGCGCGGTTCGAGGGGGCGGGGGGCGCCAAGAGCGTTGTGGCCGCTTCGTGCTTCGGCGACGGAGATGTCGACGGGTTCAAAAATGTTGAAGTGTCGCTATTGTTGTTATTAAAATTTAACGGGGCGCAGAATGTACTGACAATGTCAGTCATGTATTCATCATCGTTGTTCTTCTGCTTCGGTATTGATAACACGGGTTTCTATACTAATATTATAAAGAGGGAAGATTTGTATTTTTGGATTTTTGTATGTATTGTTATAATTCAAAAACTATTTGGTCGATTATAAAAATTCTTTCACCATTAGAAAAGCAACGTTATCAGTGAGTAATATAGACTATATTTTTTATATCACGCAGACGAAGTTGCGAGCAACAACTAGTACAAGATGAAGTAATTTAATGGATTTATTTAATATGATGAATACTATCCAACAATAACAATAACAATGGCAACGATATTTTACAAAATGACAAACTCCAGTCTAGTTTTCTCTTATTTAATAAAATAAATTACGTCAGGTGCTCTTTCGTACATCACATGTTTACAAGGAAAACCTGAAACAAAAAAATGTCATCTTATTACACAAAGAAATTGACGTAGTAAAATTAACTCCAAGAGCCCATTCAACATATTCCCTACAAACGTTAAATAACAGAAAAAAAAATGTAACTGTTACTAAAATTTGAGGTAATGTTGTTCGTAACACAAAATGTTAGAAATTACAAAACAATACACAGAACGTTGAATATCGCTGCATTAGCGAACTATGCACTTTAGTGGAATATTAGTTTTGAACTAATTTCTTGGTTGCTATGTAGAGAACATAGTGTGTTATAATAAACATTTTAATTCTCTATTCTGTACTCACGTCAATTAAAGAAAAAAAATGTAATAACTTTAAACATTTACAGAGGTGGATACATTGGGTTCAAAGTAAAACCAAAGACGGACATTTAGGTCATCAACTAATACGGTTTTGATCCTGCGCCCCTAATATATATTTGAGATACACCCTGTATACAGAAAGATGATAGTTATTACTTTTTTAAATAGTTGATCTATTACTGTTAAGAGTTAACTCATGATGTTATGCAACTATTCGTGGTTTGGTCGTTAAATGTGTTTACATTTTATCGCCCCCACATATTCGTCGCTTCAAGTCGGCCATTTAATTAATAGACTGTTGACAATGAATCTGTTTACATTTACACTATAACGTTTGTTCTGTCGCCATACTTGATTTAGTTAAAATATGTTGACTAACATTACGTTGAAAAATGTTTTCAGTTAAACTGATAATGTGCTAGAATTCTTTCGATTATTTGATTTATATTGAATACATAATCTATACTAATATAATTAAAGAGGAAAGATTTGTATTTTTGTATGTATTGAAATAACTCAAAAACTACTGGCCCGATTTCAAATTCTTTTACCATTAACAAGGTACGTTATCAGTGAGTAAGATAAGCTATGCTTTTTATCATTTTTTAATCACACGCGGGCAATATCGCGAGCAACAGCTAGTATAAAATTTAGTTAAACATAATCAAATATACAAGCTATCTAATCATTAATGTGTAAAGTGTATCGACCCATTTTGAAGAATTTAACTAGTATAATTTAAATTTATTCGTATTACAGTAGTAACGAACAGATCTTTGTTCTGATAAATTGCCGTTAAGATTTACACGTAAAGTTAAGTGAACGTCGAAAAGGTGGTTTTCGATTTATCATCATTAACTTGAATAATAGTCCACATTAATTTTACTTAGTATTAACTTAACTAAAGAATTCTTATCCCAATTTGGAAAGAAGGGATCCTATTTTTAATTTCATTTGTAATACATATCTTAATTTGTATTTACTATAGACTAGACTAGATATAGACTTATTTGATTTAATGTAAATGGGGGAAAAACAAAATTGATACTATCAATTCATTTTCAAATCTCAACAAACATCTGCTCATATTATAATCGAACCAGAAATCGTCTTATCTTATCCTTTTTTTATCTACACCTACATTTTTGCCTATCTTAAAACCAATTTTCATCCCTCTATTCCTATAAACCAATAAATGCATGAACGAACCTAATTGAATCCTCTAGATAAGCAGATTTGGAATTTGTCAGCACGTTATTTATGTTTGAGAAAATATCGAATTATTACATTTTTTCCCTTCGATGCTAGATTGAATTTATTTCGTATGATCGTATAAATTGTATTTATTCAAGGAATTGTAGCTTCATAAATATACGTAAACATTCTGCGAGGAAATGAATTGCCGTTTGCGCGTTTGTTTTTTGATCCAGTTTTTATCTTTGTTAATTTGAAAGTGGAATAAAAATATGAGAATATTACGGTTTATTTTTGTAAGTCGTTTTGCACGTTACGTTTTTTACCATAATTCTAAAAGTTTTATTCTAGATAGAAATTAAGAATTACTATTTTTTGATGTTATTATAGCTTTATTTACACTTCGACAAAAAATAATAATTACCGCTATTTAATTTCAGGACAATTTCTTAAAGTAATTAAATTAATTTGCTTAACAACTGAACCCTATCCCTAGCCGCCATAAGCTCAAAATCCCCAGCGGTTTGCCATTCATTATATAAATTTAATGTTTAATTTTACCGTAAATTTGTTCAGCTGTTTTATGTTAGCACTTCGTGAATATTTTTTCTGTTTGGTTTAATATTTTTATTAGGCGTAAT